GGGTTTGAACCGCCAGCCGTCTGGTTAGCAGGCAAAGTGTCTTAGCCACTATGCTACCAGAGCTCCCAAGGTGCGCCTGATATAAGCCATGATATTTTCAATCGCCTCATATGCATGTGAGAACTGGACAATGAATAAGGAAGACTGAAGAAGAATTGATGCTTTTGAGTTGTGGTCTTGGCAAAGAATGCTGAAAGTACCATGGACTGCTAAAAGAACTAACAAATCTGTCCTGGCGGAAGTGCAGCCAGAATGCTCCGTGGAAGTGAGAATGGCCAGACTTCATCTCATCTACTTTGTTCATGTTGTCAGAAGGGAGCATTCCCTGGAGAAGGATGTCATGCTTGGTAAGGTGGAGGGTCCACAAAAGAGGGGAAGGCCGTCAATGAGATGGTTTGACACAGTGGCTGTGGCGATTGGCTCAAGTACAGCAGGGATCGCGGAGCCGCTGCGGGACCGGGCAGTGTTTAATCTTCTGTGCGTAGGGTCGCTGTAAGTCGGAGACAACTCTATGGCACCTAACAACAAGAACAATGGGTGTTGGTGGGAGGTAGCACCCACCTCCCACCAGATGAAATGCCTAATAAATGCTTTCCTAGACATTCTTGCAGTAAAGGGACCTAAGTTTCACTTTAAAGGGATTCTGAATCGGGAGCACCTAATCAAAAGATGAGCCCTGGTAGCATAGTGCCTAAGACATATGATTGCCAACTAGAAGGCTGGCAGTTCAAACCCACCAGCCACTCCTCAGAAGGAAGATTGGGCAATTTACTTCCGTAGAGATACCACCTCAGAAACCCAAGCAGGGGTCACTATGAGTCAAATCATCTCGACAGTAGTGAGTTTTTGAGTTTTAATCAAGAGACATGGAGTCATGAGTAGTGCAAATGGCTAAGTGCTCAGCTGCTAACCAAAAGATTGGTGATTTGACTCCACCCAGAGGTGCCTTGGAAGAAAGACCTGGTGATGCACTCCCACAAAAAAAGAACTAGACATTGAAAACCCTATGGGGCACAGCTCTACTTGACACACGTGGTAGGCATGAGTCACAAACAACTTGATGGCGATTGGTTTGGTTTTGGTCCTTGGCAGATAAACTGTGAGAAGTCTGGCAGCAGCAGCAGCTGCAGCACTCATATTGCTGGAGCAGCAGCACAGTGATGTCAATGCTGGGGAACAGTGTCCAGTGTTCATGGCATCAGCCATAAGTTGAGTATTTAAAGCTTCAAGTACAGCAGCTGTTGCTTCACTGGGCCAACATGCTGTGGGACTTCAGGTAGTCATTGTTCCTGGCTACAATTCTCTAGCCCTCTACAATTCTGTGAGCTACTCAGTATTTCTCCTAAAATTCCTCTTCTGCTTAAAATAGCTTGGCTTGGTTATCTTCTATTACTTGGTTGGCTTTTATTGCAACCAAGAATTCTGATATGCTTGGTATTTGAGGCTTTTCTGAAGTTTAACGGGACTAACTAAATGATAACCACAGTTGACTGTAGAAATAGAAGAAAGAGGAAGACCAACAACATATATTTTTGTTACTTTAAATGCTTAGCGTAGTGTCTAGGCTATAATAGTAATTATTTGTACTACTAGTGTTGTTGTTAGGTGCCATTGAGTTGATTTTTGACACAACCCCATGTGACAAAGCAGAACTGCCCATACAGCCCACAGAGCCAATGTAAGCACGAACAAAGTGCAACAAGACAAATTAAACAGCAATTAAACATTGAGAGAAACCATTCTACTTAAAAGCAGTGTGGTGGTTATGTTTGTGTGTCAACTTGGTTGGGCCTGGTTGAGTGGCTGGGCAGCTGGTGGCAGTTAATCCCCATGAAGAGACTGGCAATCGGCTCCATGGTGGGATCTACCACAAGCAGCTGGGTAGCTGCATTTGGGTATGTGGTCTGCTTCCTGTATTTAAGGAGGAACCTTTGGGAATGGTCTCTAGCACATGGCACGCTTGGACCCCACATGTAGCCATGTCATTGCTCAGCAGCCTGCTATGCTCTGCCAATCTTGGGGCTTACAATGGACTTAAGTTAATGGCCTGC